CTTACAATGAATGACAGCAGATGTTATTTGGTAACACCTCTGACACTTTTTACAAGAGAATTTGACCTGTTTGATTGGTATTGTCTGTGGCTATGATTACTCTACTTTCTCATATTCTAGAACAACCTGGATGTCTTCTCTTTCTCATACCTTAATAACACCTGCTTTCTCTCTTTCCCTCTCCCTCTTCTCCTCCCCCTCACCCCACACACACAGAGTTTTCTGTGTGTCCTGGTTAGATTTTTGTCAAAGTGACACAACACAAGTTACAGTCACCTGGGAAGAGGCCCTCAAGTGAGAAAGTGTCTCCATCAGATTCCCTATAGGCAAGTTTTTAGGGCATTTTCCTGATCAAAGCAGAGGTCCTCGTGGTATAAGGAAGTAGGCAGAGTAAGCCATGGAGGACAATCCAATAAGAAGACGTCTCCATCACTTGTGCAACTCTCTGAATTCCCTGAATGATGATGGACTGCAAAGTGTAAGATAGAGTAAGTCTGTTCCCCCCCCAAGTTGCTTCTTGATCATAATCTTTCTCACAGCAGAAGAAACTGAAGAAAGTGCCCTTGGTATATAATTTCCAAACTCTTTAAAAAAAACATTTATTTTGGGGGCTGGAGAGATGGCTCCAAAGCACTGACTGCACTTCCAGAGGTCCTGAGTTCAAATCCCAGCAACCACATGGTGGCTCACAACCATCTGTAATGAGATCTGATGCCCTCTTCTGGTGTGTCTGAAGACAGCTACAGTGTATTCATATATAATAAATAAATAAATCTTAAAAAAAACCCAAACATTTATTTTAAAGTATATTATGCCTTACTTATAATCTCATCTATGGTCTACCCTTACCCTTCTGCACATAACAGAAAAACTAAACTCAATCTACTCTTAGTCTTGTTCACAGTATCATCTCTTTCCTCTACAGGGCTTTTCTTCTTTTCATCTATGCTTTTTCTTTGAGATGAATTCAGTTCCTTTAATGCTGAGTCCCCTACTTTCTTGTTCTTAACGTCATAATTTTATGTTTCACTGTTTGAAAGTGTCACCTTGCCCCTACATTTCCACTACCCCACCATTTCAATACTAGAAACCCCTGCTCACTTACTCTAACTAAAATTTGGCTAAGAGAAAATAAATTTTCATTCTATATCGTGGTAAATCTGCAGCTATGCAGTTTAAAAACTGTCCAGTCACGGTCCTCTCCCACTGACAAAGTTAGGCAACAAAACTCTTCCTAAAGTCAAGGTCACAGGCGGCTTCCCCTAATTTCTATTAAAAAAAAAAAAAAAAAGCTGTTCTGGGGGCTGGAGAGATGGCTCTACAGTTAAGAACTCTGGCTGCTGTTCCAGAGGCTAGATCCCCAGCACCCACATGGCCATTCACAACCGTCTGTAACTCTAGTTCCAAAGAATCCAACACCCTCTCCTGGCCTCCATGGTCACTGTACATGAATGTAGACAATGCAGACATTAATGCAGGCAAAACACTATATATAAAATAAAAATAAATCTACTAAGTTAAAAAAAAGCTTCTATTTTCAAAGAAATTCAAGGTACTGTTTCTTTGAAGACAGTCTCCAGTCTCCCCTCAGTAGTTTTTAATTGAAATTAAGAGGAAAACAAGCTAGCACAAATGTTTATTACTGGCCCCCTTCCTCCTGCATGTACCTCTAAGTATCAGACTTGCTAGTTTCTATACTTAGGACAGATCTACAAAAGTAAAAGAAATTTGGAAGGAATTCTGTATCTCATGTCTCTTTCTCTTTTTTTTCCTATTGGATTGCAGCTGGAGATGTAGCTGTCATTCCATTTTACTTCATTTTTCAGAGCCAAATCGACACCAACCTGTCACTGACTCCATAACCTAAGGGTAATTCTTCCCTCTAAACAGATTTATACAAAAAAGATACACTGGCGGGCTGGAGAGATGGCTCAGTGGTTAAGAGCACTGAGGTCCTGAGTTCAATTCCCAACAACCACATGGTGGCTCACAACCATCGATAATGTGATTTGATGCCCTCTTCTGGTGTGTCTGAAGATAGCCACAGTGTACTCATATAAATAAATAAATAAATAAATAAATAACAAGATTCAGAAATTTGGGGGAAAAAAAAAGAAGAAGAAAAAGAAGATACACTGGCACAGAAGCTTCTCAAAGCCAGCTCTCTCTGCATTAAAAGTATCAGCACTTTCCTAATGCTTGTCATCACATCGTCCTCCAACTGCCAAGACCTTATTTCAAGCCCTAAAGGCCCACATATTTTATGACACAGTAATTTTCTCAAAGCTGTCAACATACAAATTGCCTTTTAACAAGTCATCTCAGATTTCTTAGAGACGGGGCTCATGAAGCCCAGGGTGGCCTTGACCTTGCTAAATGGTGGATGACCTTGAACTTTTTTTTTTTTTGGTTTTTCGAGACAGGGTTTCTCTGTGTAGCCCCGGCTGTCCTGGAACTCACTCTGTAGACCAGGCTGGCCTCGAACTCAGAAATCCGCCTGCCTCTGCCTCCCAAGTGCTGGGACTAAAGGTGTGCGCCACCATCACCCGGCAACCTTGAACTTTTGATCTTCCTGTTCCTACTTCCAGAATGATAGGATTACAGGCTGACTACATCACACTCAGTTTTATTTAAGTGCAGTTTAGGAAAGCATGCTATGTTACAAATGAAACTATATCCCTAATCACAAAATTTCTAATGTCTACTTATTTTATCTAAAAACTAAAGATCATAAAATTTAAGACCCTTTTAGCATCAGATTACAGAATACGTTTTCCTGTGTTTATAGAAAAATACATGGCCTTATTTTCCTTTCTATCATTTCAAAGGACCTTATAGTATATTTTCTGTTCATGTTTACTGACATTCTATCAAGATAGACTCCCACATGCTCACCCTTCTTTCACCAGTGAACTCTCAGCTCCTAGAATATAGAAAGCCCTCAGTTCACACTTGGGCCAAGAGAGCATAGCCATGCAGCACAGAAAGCGGACATGAAGCTACAAGACCAGCATTTGAATTTGTTTTTACACATCAGTCAGATGATCCTCAATAACGTCTTTGGACTCACCTTCCTAATATGTAAAAGAAAGAAGCTAAAAACTCCATTCAAGCTCTCCAGTTGTATCACCCAGCATTCCTGCCTCACCAAACACTACTCTCTCTCCTCCATTGCCTTATTATCTATGTCCTTCCATTTGGAATCTCCTTTTCTTAATCCACAGCTGTCAGAAGAATAGTCTATCCTTAAGAGTTTAATTATTTTTTTCTTTTAAAACTTAACAAACTTGTAAGTTCTGTAGGAGGGTGGAGTTCTTACTTTCTATTCTTAGCAGTTGGTACAATGCCTTACATACAGGTGATCAGCCAAACAACGGATGACTCATAGGAGTGTAAATGAGCAGATGAACAAAGAGAGGCTTTCCTGATTTCCCTCAACTACACAGGTCATCTAGGACTCATCTACATGGTACCTTTTTGTGGTGATAACATTTGTCTCTGCTATTAATTTACTCACCTACTGGATTATTATGATGCAATTTCCTTAAGATGAAGAACTGTCCTGGTAGTTTCTATTTCTGTCTATAGCACCTATATTCACAACTCATGTAAAGTTTACTTAATGTGGTAATAAGGGTAACAGAGGTTAAAAAAAGAGGATGTCACCTTATAATATCAGATATATACACTGTGCGAAACTCTGGGAACTCATGCATCAAAGATTCAGAGATCTTTCTTTCAAGAACAGAACAGCCACCCTGTATACCACAGAATCACATCAATTCTCTTGCAATATAAATATATGTGAGACCATTCTCACACATCGACTTCCAAATCACTATCTCTAAATTGCTGACGTAACTTTTATCATTCAGCTATCTACCCATTCAATTCCCTTCTCCTCAAGGTATGAAACCACTTTTTAAAAGCATCTTCCCGTATAAGATCTGCCTTAAAAAAAATAATGTTCCTGAAATATTAAAAAAAAAAAGCCCAGTTTTTAAGTTTCCGAGTCTTTGCAGCTCCTCAATTAACCCCAGGCACTAACAACCTTATTTCCCTTTGTCATCAAGGCTTTATTTTCCCCTCTAGTTTCCTCCTAGCTCACACTCAGAATCCATGAAACTATTCTGACTGCACAACAGCTGCTGTCTTTCCATTCAAAATGTTCTCGACATCAGTGTCAATGCATGTGAGCCTTCTTTAAGTGTGCATCAATCCCTGCTTCCCTCCCTTACTACACACACATACACACACACACAAAAAAAACACCAGTACCCATGCATCACTCTTATCTCCTTCATACAAGTTCCTTACATCGCACCTAATGAATGCACACGACTCTCAGAATGGTATCTTCCAACTACAGTTTCTTTTGAGAACATCACCTTGTTCATAAGCACCTCCCTCTTCCCTCGTTTCCCCATCCATTTCCCCGCTTTACGGGCTCCTCTACCCCTCCAACTAAGGACAGAAGACATTATTTCTCCTACTCCCAACCCGCGATAAAAGAACAAGCTCGCGTTTCCTGCGGGCTCCCCTTCCTCTAGTCTGCCCTCCAGTCTGCGCCCTCCCAACCCCCAGGTGTGCCGACTTCCATCCTCCGCTCTACGCATGCATCGCTCCGGTCAGCACACCACGGTTCCCCGGCTGTGGGCTCCAGACCCCTTCACACCCACCTCGACTCCGGGTGCCTCTCCCTACCCCGGCCCGCAGCCTGAGACCACAGGCGCGCGCGCGCACACACACACACGTTCTTTCTCACGCTTCCCCAACCTCCCTCCGCTCATCGCCGGCTTCACCGGAGCTCAGCTCGCCCGGCGGGGGCCAGGCAGCCATGTGTGTGCCCGCCCCCTCCCGCAGCTGCCCGCTCAGCCCGCGCCTCCCCGCCCGGGGACAGAAGGACGCTGCAACTCCCCCACCACCTCGGGAGTCCGCTGTTTCTGGCCCCCAAGCCTCCTCCCGTCCCCACAACGCCTCGGTCGGGCTTCGACACTCACCGGAGATACTGCGCGCTCTGCAGGCTCATCCTCCGCCGCCGCGTCTCGCCACGAAGCCTCCGTGGGTCTCTCAGGCTCCTCGGAGCGGCCCCGCGGCCCCGCGGGTGCTGGCGGCCGCCGCCATCTTCCTCTCCTCCGACTCCTCCTCGCTTGGCGCGGGGTGGGGGGGGAGAGTGAGTGAGGCGAGGGGGAGGGAGTGGGGAAAGCTGCTCTAGCTGCGGCTCTGGCCTGTGGGACACAGGGACGCTCCTGCTCGGGAGGGGGGAAGAGGAGGGAGAAGGGAAGGGGGCGGGGGAAGAGGAGGGAGAACCAGAGGAAGGAAGTCGGGTTCGCTCTCGCGAGACTTTAGCAGTGCCGGTCCCTCTGGGTGATTTCCGCTTCTCTGTATCTCTCCCTTTTGGGATCAGCAAGTTGTGTGGCGCCTGCGCGCCGGCTGAGCGATCTGGTGATAGTGCCTGGCGGCTTCCTAATGATGCGTCCTTCTCCTCCCGTGCGAGGGGACAACCCCAAGCTCAACGCGAACATCGAGCCCAAATCAGCCGGGAGTTACACTCAAAGCCTTCCGCCCTTCCACCCACCCACTTCTCGCTTCCTTTTTCCACTCCTCCACTTTTCCCCACCGGAAACGCCACCCCTTCCTCCTACAGTTCCGCCCGCCAATTCCTCGACTCCTGTCTTCCCTCGCGCGCCGGAGAGTGACGCAGAGGCCTCCCTCGTCTCAGCTGCCCCTCCCCAGGCACTCTGGAAGAGTGTTGGAGGGGGATAGGGCGGAGCCCAGGGAGAAAAAGAAAGGAAAACCAATCAGATTGGGCAGGCCGCTGCCATGGAAACTGGAGGCTGTGGTTGTATTGTCATAGTAACTGCTGTGTGTAGACAGGGTGACCCTCCCTTGGAGAAACGGGTTCCCGGGAAACCGCCCAGGATTCCCCGCTTGGATTCCCTGCCTTTTTAAAAGTCAGGAGTCGAGATTGTTATCCGAGCAGGAAAGTCCATTTCTTCTTCCCTCACTCTCCCAGCAAAAATTGGGGGAGACCCCCTCCCAAGGGTGGAAACCACCTCCATAGTTTCTTCTCAGAGCCGGGTGGGGAGAGGGCCCGGCTCCAGAAGAAAACGCAGGTTATGAAGGCTGGCGGGTGGTGGATTGGAGGGAGAAAGCGAGGGCGATACTGCGAAGTCAGAGAGGAAAGGGAAGGGGTTTCTCCAAAACTGTTTGAGGCTGGGCAGCGGGATCCCGCCAGGACCGGGTCCCTAAAGGAAGAGACTGGCATACGACAACCGAGATGCGGCTCAGGCAGTCGAGAATGTTCGACTTTTCCTAGTCGGTCGATCCTTGCCTAATTCCCACTAGGTATCACCTGCGAGACCTCCCGGAGACGACTCAGTGAGAGCTGGAACCCAGCCTAGGAGGCTAACACGCAGTTCTTAGGCATTTAGAATTGAGAGCGAACAGAAAGACATTCTTTCCAGAGGTACCCCCAGTGAGAAATGACGCTCCGTCATCGAAGGTTAATGTCCAAAGACCCCCTCCTCAAAAACATCTACAGTGTTTTAGAACTTGCCACTTTTTAAAATTAAAGAAGTATCTAGATTTATCAGCATGAAGGAGTCTAAGAAAATAATTTTCCACTTTGGGAACGAATATTTTAAGTATTTTGTGTCAGATTTAGGATTAAAATAGAAATAATGAATCCTGATGATGGAGTAATGTAGAATAAGTCATTCTGATGAACCAATTATTGACATTTTACAGGTTTTATTTTCAATTGATACTGAAAAATTATATAAGCAACTATCCTAAAATGTTTTAGAGTAAGATCCAAGAATGCAGTCCTCACTTTACAGTTAAAATCAGCATTTCAATGGGATCTTAGTTTAGGTTTGGGTACCTGATTTTTTTCTGTTTTTCCACGCTGCCTCAAGAATCGCTTTCCAGGTCTTTCTCTGAATCCAATGCCTATTAACCTAGAACAATGTTTATTTGGAACATGTTTCGGTTCTCAGGAAACGAAAGTACAGCCCACTTGGAAATAAGTCTCAAGGACAGCTTGTCATTAACGAAATAGAAAGTGAACTATGCCCCCTCTTGCTGCAGACAAGCGCGAGTACGATGCGCTATGACGTGCATGGCAATGGCAGCAGTACAATGGCTCCTAGCTTTCACCAGCGCCAACGCCGCCCACTCACGGGAAAGAGAGCCACCTAGTGAGAAACTGTTCACATCTCTGGTGTGTAGATTTCTACTTCAACTCTGAAAGTCAAAGAATGGAAGTTACTACTATATACCCTCAAATATTCTAGTTTTGTTTTGTTTTTTAAGATAGCGTACAGAGTGATGGGCTCCATTATGGCTCACACACACACACATATTTTTTATTCGCCCTCCCACTGATTTCCTCCATACTCCTTTTCTCCTCTCTTCCTAGTGCTCTCCCCCTTTTAATCTTCCATTCTGCTTTCATTGTCGTGTGAATTCCATTAGATTCTCCACCGCTTCCCTCCTTTGATACCTTTTCTTCCCTTTTCACGGTCCTGTTTGAACTTTCATAACACACTTCTTAAATCTAGATGCTGTGTAAGAGAGAAAATATATTTGTCTTTTTCAGTATGGCTTATTTTTCTTATTGTTTGACCTCTAGTTCCTTGCTCTTAAAAAAACAACAACTGTGTTTTGGGGGAGGGGGTTTGTGATTGAAAAAATCCATTATGTATATGTACATTTTCTCATTTGTTGATGGACACATAAGCTGGTTCTATTTCTTAGCTATAAGGAATAGTGTGACAATAAATATGGATGTGCCAGGATCTCTGGTATGTTGACTTAGAATCTTTAAGGTCTAGACCCAAGAATGGCAGAGCAAACTTTTATGGTAGTTCTATTTTTAGTTTCTTGAGGGACTTCTACAGTGACTTCCAGAGAAGTCACCCACAGTGTGTAAGAATTCCTTTCCCCAGCCACATCCTCATCGGCATTTGTTGTGTTTGGTTTTTATTTTCTCTTTCTTTTTTGTTCTTTCCTTCTTTTTTTTGTTTTGTTTTGTTTTCTTTTTTTTTTTTTTTTTTTGGTTGTTTCAGGGTTTTTTACAGTCTGGTTTCTTAGTGTAGGATTGTCCGGCCTGGTCTCTTTATGACCAACCTGGACATGAACTCACAGAGACTGCCTGTCTCTGCCTCCCAAGTGCTAAGATTAAAGGCATATTTCCACACCACCCAGCTCTGATTGGTTTTCTTAATAACAGCCTTCATGAATGGTTAGAATCTCAAGGCAGTTTTAATTTGCATTTCCCTGATGGCTGAAGATACTGTACGCTCCTTCATTTAATTTATATTTATTATTTTGAGAAACATCTCTTTTACTGATGGTTTGTCTTTTGTTTACTTTTTGCAGTTATTGGCATTTTCTAGGTCAGCTGTCCTCAACCTGTGTGTCATGACCCTTTCACAGGGGTCATATCAGATATCACATACCAGGTATTTACATCATGATTCTAACAGTAGCAAAATTACATTTAGGAAGAAGCAACAACCTGAGGGACTGTATTATAGGGTCGCAGCATTAGGAAGGCTGAGAGCTACGTTCTAGCCATTGACCCCATTTGATGTGTAGTTAGCAAAGGTTTACCCCTATCTTCAGGCTGTATCTTTAGTCAAGTGGTTATTTTCTTTGAGGTAGAAACTCTCAATTTTATGTAATCTCATTTGTCAATCCATGGGGTTATACCCTGTGTTAATAGAGTATTTTTCACAAATCCTTTGCCCATGCCTACACCTTGATATGTTTTTTCTATTTTATTCTAATTGTTCCAAATCTTCAGGTCTTATAATGCCCTTGGTTCATTTTTTGTTTGTCTTTGTGCAGAGTAAAGAAATATGTATAAAGTTTCGTTCTATAAATGGTGTCCAGCACTCTTTTTCCTCATGTATAATTTTGATAATTTTGTTGCTATATAGATTTGCTTGTGGGTCCCCATTTCTATTCTGTTGGTTTACACGTCTCGCTTGTTTTTCTTTCTGCCAGTAGTACATACTTCTTGTTACTATAGCTCTAGTACAATTTGAAGATCGAGTACTGCAATACCTCCAGCATTATTCTTTCTGCTTAGGATTGATTAGACTATGCGATCTCTGTACATTCCACTGTTCTTTTTAATTTGTTGTTGCTGCTGTTTTGTGAAGAGAGTCATTGGAATTTTCTTTGAATTGCATTGAATCTGGAGGTTGAATCTGCAGGGTGTCCCTTTTTACACTCTTAGTTGTGTCAATCCACAAATTGGGGAAGTCTTGCTGCAGTGTCTCAAAGTTTTCATTGTAGAAGTCTTGCGTTTCCTTGGTTGAATTTATTCCATGGCATTTTTAAAATTATTGTGAATGGAATTTTTCCTGATTTTTTAAAAATAAACATTCATTATTGTTATATTTAAAAGCTTACTGATGTTTGTGTGTAGATTCTGTACCCTAATGTTTTGATGAAAGTGGATGGGGGTCTAAGAATTTTCTGGTAGAATCTTTAGGATTGTTTAAGTTCAGTATTATGCCCTCTACAAGTAGAGATACTTTGATTTTTTTCTTTTCTGTTTATATCTGTTTAATCTTTCTCTTGTCTTATTGCTCTATCTATATTTCAAACACTATGCTAAATATTCTGTGGGTTTTTTCCCTTGAAATGCATTGGTTAGATTTTTACCAAAATGTAATTTCATACTAAATAAAATAATGATCGTAGCAACCTTTTTATGTTCAGAGTATATGTCTCCAGTAAATAATAAGCATGTCATATACTTCTGATACTAACTCTATGAAACTGTGCATATCTACTAAGTTTGGAAACAGAAGATGAGATAAGAAAGAGAAATCCTTTTTATTACCACTGGCTGATCTATTCACCAAACATTTACTGAGAATTATTATATTTTAGGAACTGTCCAGGTTACTATGGATACCACAGTGAAAAAGAGATGACTTGTCTTAGAATAACTCACCTTCTGGTTGCAGTACACGAAGTGAGGAGAATGCAGAGTGATGGATTTAGTAATTGAGATAAGAACAAACCAGAAGCACAGATGAGGTCAGAAACAAACTTTATGTTTATATAAGCTTTCCTAAGAATTTCATAAGATTCTTCAGTACCATTTACAATATGCCTAATAAGTAGGTAGGATGGTGGTAATATTTATGTCTTACAGAGTATAAAATAATGATTCTATCTTTAAAATTATTTTTCAAAATTTAATAGAATTGGAAGGAGGAACACTACAAGTCTAAGGCAGCCTGGTAGTCGTAGTCAGGAGATTACCTATTTCTATTGCTGGGATGAAGACCATGACCAAAAGCAAGTTTGGTTGGCCCTTCCACATTGTAGTCAGTCATTGAAGGAAGTCAGGAACTCAAGCGGGCCTGGCACCTGGAGGCAGGAGCTGATGCAGAGACCATGG